CATCCACTGTATCTGGTAGACTATCTGGAGGGAGAGGAATGGAAGAAACTTTGAAGATAGATTCAACAACATCCAGAAAATCAAAGAGAGCTGCATAGCAACTTTCTACTTTTGGTGTAAAGAACATTTTATAGAAAATGCTGAAAGTTACTGCAATTAGTCTCTTGTTCTAGCTTGTTACTACATTAGGTCTCCAGCATACCTTAATGCTGAGGAATACAAGATTACCAGTTTCAAAAAAGAAATAACTGCATACACTTTCTTATATACAATCTTCAATTTTCTTTGGATCCTAAGTTCTCTGCTGTTTTCATTGGTGTTCCTTTTAACTGTGTTTCAGGGTGTTGACTGATAGTTAAACTTTTTGTTTATTTTAAAGAAGTGGTGAACGTTCTCTCCTTGGGGACCTCTTTGGCCTTCTATCAGCAATGTCGTATGGGTTGTTCACTGGTTAGGCTTCTTCTGGATTATTCTTGATACTAAGTATTAGCTGTACAATATGATGAGGTTAATAATGTTTTCTCCTAATGATCTGCAGTGCTGCTTAAAAAGTTCGCTGGTGAGGAAGGAAAAGGAATAGATATGCAAAAATTGTTCGGTTATATAGGGTTGTGTACCCTTGTGACCATGTGGTGGCTTGGTAAGATTTGATCCTTTTGCCCTAATGTTTAGTAGTTCTAATTTGTATATACAACAAGCAGTCTCTTTCATTTGCACTTTTGGAATGCTTTGTTGCCGTCTTCTGAAAATAAATTCTTTCTCCATGTTTTCCAGTTCAGGTTTGAGGTTGAGGAAAAAAAGTATCTTTAAGGTTGTGAACTAGAAAAGTTGCAATACGATAAGACTCCAATATAGTCCATCTGTAGCTCATGGAAATCTGATAAAGACAGATATAATTTAAGCCATTTTCTTATCAGACAAGCCATGCTTAGATAGGTTAGAATCTAGGACAGAGTGTCATACTCGACCTGAAATCTTCTGGCGACAGTATGTGTCATATAGGACTTTTGGTAGGTAAATCTAGACAAATTCAATTTATGAAGTCAGCATTGATTTGCTGACTTCCATAGTTGGTTGATCAATTTATCTCCAAAGCTATTGATAGGTTTATAGCCATACTTTTTTTTGACATATTGGGTTTGCAATTTAAATGGTGACTAGTTGTAGTTGACTTGACTTAATGTATGATGCTCTTGACATCAAAATGCTGGATGTTCTTTCTTTTTGTAACTGGTATGTATTGCTTACAATATTTTTCTTTATGGGACAATGATTAAGAGAATAGACTCCCCACTATAGTACTTAAAAGTTTTAATAAAGGGAAAAGACTCAAATATCGAACTTTGAGAAGAGGCTCATCTATACTATCCGTTAAAAGTTTTGCTGATCTATGCCGTTTCCGCTTGAGAAAAGGCTCACCCATGTCATTATTTGTAAACTGAAATGGCGTAGTGATCCAAGCTTTTAACGGATGACATAGATGAGCCTTTTCTCAAAGTTTGATTGCATATTTGAGCGTTTTCTATTCAAAAATGATTTAATTACTAATGTGGCAGAGTCATAACTGACCACGTGTAAAAAATGATTTTGCAAAACAGGAACTGTTTTCTGTTAACAAATAATGGCATGGATGAACCTTTTATCAAACAGAAATGACATAGATTAGCCAAACTTTTAATGGATGGCATAGATAAACCTTTTCTCAAAGTTCGATGGCATATTCGGGCTCTTTCCTTCAATAATAAATATGTGATGTTGGTCAGTTTGGCTCCAACTTAGCTAGTTACCTTTCACTAGCTATTAGTGACTGGGGGGCTCACCAGTCCTATTTACACATTTGAGGTTGGGAACATTTTTCAAAATCTAACGCTATTCTGTAGCGCTATAAAGTATGATATGGAGAATTATTCATGTTTACATATAAGTGATGGTTTAGTACATCTCAGATTTTGATACACTGAATATAATTTGTTAAAGAACTAATTTCCAAGTGAATGACATCAATAAACAAGAGACCTATAAAGTGATATCCACTGCAATGAAGCCTGATCCTCTTTTGTGACCATGAGTTTTGCCTGATGCTGGCAACTGGAGGGTGAGACCAAGGTTAATCTATTCTTTTTTTTTATGACAAGGGAAACCCGCAGACGCTACCCTTTGGGTACGTCAACTAGGATTAGTTCAAATTTATTAGATTCATCCTTTCCTATTTCACCACTTCGTCATCACTCAATTTTTCCATGTCTTATTTTCTCATGTGGTATCTGAGCAATAACTATTCCGATTCTTTGTTTATACGATGTTGAGCCTCCATGTAATATTATCCACGTTTCACATGTCCTGTGCTAAGCGTGAGGGGAGGAGTCCCACATTAGTTGTGCATCAGAATGGGTCCTTATATGGTTTAGGGAATAGGTCCTTATATGGTTTAGGGCAATTTACATTGCATGAAGCTAGCAGCTTTTGGGTTAGGCCAAGGTCCTATTGTTAGCAAAATTTATATGGAGTAACCATTAGGCTTGTTGTTCCAGGGTCCTGTGGTCTTGTTTTTTTATTGTGTCGGTCGTTTCATGGTTTGAAACCATCTCAATGAGCCTGGTTTGGTAAGTTCAAAACAGTTATTCAGGTGTTTGGAATGACTCATAGAAGCTGATCATTATGTGTTCTATCACCATTCTGCTCTAGATCTATGGATTTACTTGGTAGTTTAAGTTGTCGATACGGTATTCACTGGCGCGGGGATGTCTTAATAGTTGCTTCTTTTTATTTGTGTCCTACTTGCTTAAAGTTGTATATACATAATAGTAGATGGTTTGAAGTCTGATAACATGTAGGATCAATGACCTGATAATTAGTTTGCCCACTACATTCATAAAGAATACAATTGTGCTATTATGCATCTTCTTGATATCTTATTAGAGAAAGCTATGTATATCACAATATGAAAATTATTATTATTAACAAATGATATTATTCCTTATATTATTGAGTTGTAATGTTTTTATATACTACTTTTGTTTGAATTTTTTTGTCCAGTATGGCCGTTGACTGCGCTGGGGATTGAACCCAAGTTCACAATACCTCATTCTGCTAAATTGGATGAAGTTGTTTTAGCCAATGGACTTGTAGGAAGTGTTCTCTCAGATTATTTTTGGTATGAAAGATGAGTTATCCACCACCCATATATACTCTTCACCTTTGCGTTATCAACTTTACCCATAACTTGCTTCCCTCCTCCTCTTTAGGGCACTGTGTGTTGTTTGGACAACTCCACTAGTTGCAACACTCGGCATGTCTCTCACAATTCCACTTGCAATGGTGGCTGACATGGTGATTCATGGACGTCATTATTCTGCTATATACATTCTTGGCTCAGCACAGGTAACAACATTAATGCAGAAAAGAAAACTTGCTTGCATGTTTTATTGAAAAGCCAAGATGCTGTTATATGTTATAGCTGGAGCAGGAAAATATGAAAAACAAAGTAACATGTCGATATCTTAGTTGGAATCTCTCTTTTATCATTACTTCCTCCCAACGCTTGAATGGCTAGTTGACTGATTTTCTTTCTATATATACATTTAAGGAGGTATTACTAATCAATTAAACCACAGGGTTTTGATTTCCGGGCTTGTTTGATTGCAGGTATTTGCTGGATTTGTAATAGCTAATATAGCAGACCGAATATCGAAACTTATGGGACTATGACATGGCCATTATACTAGTGTTATGTGACTGCAAATGAATGATATTTAAATTGTTGTCCGTTTCACCTTTGATCTCCAAATGCCTTATTATTCTTTTTATCGAAGTTGTCATTTTTTTAAGAAAAGAATCCATCATAGTGTAAATAAATATTTGAGTGCTAAAATTATATTATGTCCGCTCAATTCAATACTGGTCTTCATCATCCACGAGTGTTAGAAAAGTCTAAGTGGTCTTGTCCTACCTACAAACGAGAATTAGACGTAATTAATAATTGTTTTCCATTTCTCAATCATAGAAAAGAAAATTCAAAAGTAAATTGGAGTAAATCTTTCAAGGTTCACGAATTACTACTTCAACACTTGCACGTGAAAAACAAAGAAACCAGTGCCACAAGTTGAAACTGAGTTGTTTCTGTTAAGTTTGGGCTTCGATTGTTGTCTTTATAGAATCCAAGAATATATATTTACTAGGTAAATTATCGCGCTTTGCGCAGTGGTTACTATATTAATAATCTACTTTTAAATATGTAGTAATATAAATATTTTCGAGACGGTACAACCCTACGATAGATTGTTAAGAATATTTTATCCAAAAAGAAATAATTTTTTATAATCTTAAAACGAAAACTTGATTCTAAGTGTTTATGAATTTTGTTATTAATTCTTCATTTTACTCTATTTGTTCATCAGCCAAGTCTTAAGAAAGATATGTAATTGTTTCATTGTCTATATTTGTCTTTTTAAAAAAGTCATACAAACATTTAATTCATTAATTGCGAGAGTTTTTATGCTATTCAAGGCATCTACATATAAAATCTAAATATTATACATCTTATATAATTAGTTGTGTATTTAATAAGTTAATTAAAATATAAAAATGCATCCCTTGAAGTTCAACAAAATAAGTATGTCGCTCAAATGGTTCAGATTACATGATATCTTGTCATGTCCCTTATTCAAAATCATATGTACTCGATGATACTACTTTGATAGCCAAAAGACATATTTTGTTGTTTATATTTGAATCAATAAAGTTAAAACTTTATTCTTGGGGGACTTTCAATCTACAATTTATAAGAAGATAATTATTTCTTTAATTTTTTTTATTAATATAGATTCATCCTACTTTGAGGGGTAATTCATTGACTCCAACCTAACATTTGAACCACAAACGTTTGATTAAGGTTGAGTACAATACTTATCATCCCACTACATTCACTTATTTTTTGGATGTCACTAATCGATTAAATGTGTCGATAAGATAGAAAGTTGAATAAATAAAACACCAAGATAGTGTGGAACCGACATATATTTGAAAACTCAAAGTCCCTTCGTAGACATCCCATGGATGTTTTAGCCACTAAAACTCAATTAAAATCAAACCAATAGTCTAATGACTACATCAAACTCTTGATTAACATATGTTTACTTCAACACAATGATCAAAATCATAAACATAAACAACAAAGTTTAATACATGTACTCAAAAATAAAAAGTAATAACATAAGCATAAATTAGTGATTGTATTAAACATACCAGGATCTGTAATAATAAAATGAAACATGAAGGAAAAAATCGAGCCCCCTGATTTGACATTGTCCCCTTAAGGAAATTTTCCCATTCTAGTACCCGATGTTTAAAGGAATAGATCCTCTCTGGACAAAATGATTCTATTCTGTAGTGTGTTAGTACAAAACAATGATGTCAGTGAGACACTCAGCAGGAGCAAAATGCATAAATTTTTGTTGTTTTAAAATTAGAGGAAGTCCCTCTATTTATAGACTACAAAGGGTAGCTTGAATAAATATTTATTGTGTCTTATCGGAAAGGACACAACTCTTTGGACAAGTCACAATTTTTCATTAAAGTTACAACCCTTCATTAAAGTCGCAACTCTTCATTAAAGTTGCAACTCTTCATTAAAGTTGTAAATCTTTATAAAAAAGTTGCAACTCTTCGTAAAAGTCACAACTTTTTTTTACAAGTCGTAACTTTTCATAGAACTTTTTTTTATAAAAATCACAACTTTTCATGAAAGGGAAGACTAATTTTGTGAATAAATAAGTTAAAGGGGAATTCTGATTTGTAGTGGTGCCACATAGACGGGCCTAGGGAGTAAACCTTTCACTAACACTTTATCATAATCATGAGAAGCTACTTTAAATCATATAATAATAATATCATAACATACTTGCATTCTTAATTAACCAATTCGGTAGTCTAGGGTTAAGGATGAGGAATACTTGCTATCAACATTACAACCACACAATAGACATAGAAGCATTACAATCTAAGTAACTCATACTTTATAATTGAATTCAAGAAAAATAAATCTTCATACCTTCTTGCCTTTTCATTGCCTTCATACTTCGATAACAAAGAATACATAAACAATTCATAATCAAGGTAAATTCAAGAATCAATCACATAATTAACATCAATTTAGTCAATCAACATATTTATCACGTCCACAATTCACCATAGCAATTCAAAGTTTTCATGAGATTGGGGATAGACATGGGTCCATAGGAATCTTGAGTGAATAACAAGATTTAACCACTAATGTATACTTAAAAATATTACTTGACCATAATTCATCACAATTGATTCCTAATTTCGTTTTTCAAAGAAGACCCATGTGTAAAGAAAAATCCTAGTTTGGGGAAGTTTGAAAATCTCTTTGAAAGGACCTCTTGGGGAAAGGAATCCCAGGAGTGAAAGAAATCATACCTTAACCAAGGCTTTAGCCTCCAGTTTGAGTGAAGAACTTGAGAATTTGATCTTCTTCTTCAAGCTTCAAAGTTTCTTCAATGGAGGTTGAGTAGAGAGAGAAAGTAGAGAGAAGGGAGAGCTTTTGGATTTTGATTTGGGGATTTGATTCGAGTGGAAAATTGTGGTGAAAATCTGATTTGAAATCAATGTATAACCCTCCCCTAAAATCCCCAAAAGACCCCTCATTTAAGTTGACCTTTGAGTAAAATCAAACTTGAATTCTAATTTCAGATTTTTCAACGGGAAAAAAGGTCCGCGTCATGGAGCTGTTCTCTCAAGATTCCCAAAAATAAATTTTGAGATAGTAGAATCCGCAACGTGTCCGTGACGCGGAACATGAAATTTTGCCCATGGTGAACCATGTCAGCAACGCGGACTAGTTTCATGGTAGTCTATTTTCTTGCTGCCTTGGGCAGCTTTGTTTGGACAAAGGTAAGGTCCCTTCAAGGACCCCTAGGGCGGTCCTTGGGGGTTCGGACCTGGACGTTTTGAACCTATATATATCATTTACCTATTTTAAGTACTTTTACAAGATTTAGACTCCATATAACACTTCCAAACCTTTACAATACTTTAAGATGCTTTCTAGTTCAATTGCACTAGTTTCCAGACATCGTGGTTGTCCCTTGACGTTTAGGCTCTAATACTTCCTACTTGGTTTAAATGCATTATTATAGTCTTATAAACACTATTTTTGTTTTTAGGTAAACATGTGGGGCTCTAGACCAAGTCATGGACTTTCGAAATGTTACATCATCGTGGCGTGGTTTAGAGTATGATTCACTTACTACGTCTGTGTGTGTTTTCTCTTCTATAGCTGAGTTCCTAGTAGTGGATCGGGTGTAAAAATTATGTGACTGTCCTCCTGGTAGGGTGACATCCTTGGTTAGACTTTTTCATTCTAGTTATGGAAGATTTTGTGTTGTTTGGGATAATTAGAGTATACTAGTGTTCGACACACACAACTTTGCTTATGAGAATTTTTAGGGGAGCTACCATTAAAATTTACAGTTGTTTGACAGAATTAAGATTATCTCATCATCGGTACCATGTTTTGGTTATGTGTGATTGAATGTAAGGACCATTGCGTCTAGTTTTATCATTCTTAAGGCTTTGTCTATAATAACTACTAATCTAGCATTTCAACTGTATTGTTAGAGAATCTATATGCTTGGGTGATTCACTCGATGGTGGGTACTTGATCATTTTCTTTTCTAATTAGATGAGTTTGATTCTCCTTGATGATTACTTAATATCGAAAGAACATATTGATATAGCTTAAGCTCAACGAAATATTATGTTGTGAGGATGTAATCTTGATAATCTATGATGATTTGTGCATTGTGAGTGTGTGATGGTTGGTTCATGTTCTCCTGATTTTAGCCAATATTGGTTATGGATATTATCATGGTTACGTTAGATAACATTTGTTCTGATGGTTGTGCTAAGGTCTAGTTGGAAGAATCGATCAGTTGAAGAGTCCACTTGGGAAGAATTTTGTTGTTAGTTGAGTTCACATACAACAACAATTATAATTAGAGTATTGAGATGAAAAATTGTCTGATATGAGGTGTAGATCTCCAATTGGTTGGGTAATACTTTTGATATGATACCTTGGATACTACTATTTTGAAGGAATCGTAGAGGTAACTACCTTTCTTACCCTCACCATATATTGATCGTTCAAGGACGAACGATGGGTAAATTGGTATCTAATGTAACGATTCATTTGATCGTTTTGAGTTCTAGAACTTTTCACTTCATAAAATACTTTCAATAGATTCTAAATGGATATTTGAACTATTCGTAATTATAATTATAAAATTAATAGGATGGTGTTAGTAATTTATATAGTTGGTTGTTAAATAAAATAACATTAAAATTAATAATAGATCACTTTTACTATTTTTTATAATTAGTTAGGTATACAACTAGGATAATAAAAGTTAAATTAGATTAAAGGGAGGTTACTATTATTTTTATCCCAAACAAATCATGTGTGGGGAACTACTATACGAGAAAACAAAATGTTGACGTCCGCGAATCTGATAAACACTTTTTAAGGTATAGCTTAATCAAGCTTCAATATTGCTTTTCACATGTAAATGGTTGGGGAGGAGATTAATGTTATTTTAATATGTTGATTAGAATTACGATTGTTAAAAAGTTATTTTAGAAAAGAAAGAGGTGAATTGTAATTACTCTCTACACCCACGTGATTATTCATTTGAAAGTTTAGGTTAAACCAATAAGAAAGTTAATATTATATTATATTGTGGAATAAAATACTATTTAAAGTGCTTTGTGATTAGAATATTGTGACCATCCATTAATGATCACCAGCTATGATGTTGGTTGAAATTGTTCATCACGTTTGATTTCTAAAAATTATAATTTGAATCTCTGGTGAATGTTAGCGTGCCACTAATTTCCGTAATTCAGTGGCTGCATTTTATTTTTCTTATAGTATTATTTCATTATCATATACTAAAATGAGTTCTACTGTATTGAGATAGGTACTTAAATTTCAGGTGAATCGAATTATTTAAATTTCATTAAAAATATACTAATTGAAGGAATTAAAACTTATCCTTAGGTTTTCAACTTTAGGAAATTGATAATAGAAGTAGGTGAGTTTTTGACATTTAGGCTATAGATAGATTAATATGAGTGTTAATATACTCGTTAACTTACAAACTATGCATATATACTTGATATATTGAAAAGGATCAGAGGCATTAAGGAAACAAAAAGTATTGGAGAAGTACATTGCTTGACTTCGTTTCTTCGACGAAGGTAGGTTATGGTTTATTCTATTTGATAGATAGATTCTTAATTGATCAACATGCCTTGAATGATATTGTGAAGTCCTCTATGTACTTGATTGTGTGATTGTGTGGCTTGGTTGTGTGGTTTGTGATTGGTCTGAAATATTGAGACCGTGAAATTTGTAATCTTGAACCCTCTCTATCGAAGTGATGCATCGAATAAAGAAGGCTTGATGAAATATTAGTAATGCATTGCAAAGTGTTGATAATACATGATAAATTAATAGTATTATTGGATCGGAGTGTCAAGTTCCGACACGGTATCATTAGATCGGAGTGTCACATTCCGATTCGGTGTTCTTGGTTCAGAGTGTCACGTTCTGACACGGTATTATTGGATCGGAGTGTAACGTTCCGACGTGGTATAATTGGAACGGAGTGTCACATTTCGACATGGTAACATTAAAGGAAAAACATATTGAATTAACTTAATATACTCAATCTTAAAGAATCCATTTCTCCAACGAGCGTGGTGTGGAGGTATGAGTCCTCGTGTCTGCTTGATATTGTGATTGATCACATACTTGCTTCAGTTGTCACCTGTTCATGTTGTTTGTTGCTTATCACCTACTAAGTGCTACAGTTGATTTTATACTATTATTCTTTGTATATTAGTTACTATTTTGAGTTGGCCGATGATATCTACTGAGTACATGTTGTCCCATACTGAGCCGTACTCGTGTTTTTCTTTGTTTCTCTTTTATCGAGTGCAAAGAATGCACTAGCGACTTCGACTCGCCCACAGCTCTAGCCAGTCTCCAGCATATCAGGTACCAGGGTGAGCGATGCATTCAAGCTCGTGTTGGATTGTCTTAGTCATGACATGATGTCATATGTTTTTGGACACATACTATTTATTTTTTTATTTTGATGTATATGATACTCTTAAACTTAGTATTTGGAGATTAGATGTTCTTAATGTGATGACTTTCAGGTTTTGGGTATAACATACAGTAGACTATAATGAATTTGTGTTTCTTACAATAATGAGATTTAAGCTTTCGCAGTATTGTTAGTATTTTGTAAGTTGAATTATAAATAAATAAGTTAGGGTTGAATTCGTTGGTTTGCTCGCCTATGAGATTAAGTGTGAGTGCCACTCACGACTCAATTTGGGTCATGGCAATGGACCACCAACTTTAAACCAGAGATTGAGACTACGCTTGCCGCGGTTTGGATTAACCTTCCATGTCACTTCTATGAGTGGGATGCACTATGTTGAATTGTCAGTCCAATTGGCTATCCTATTGTAATGGACAAAGCGACTACAGGCAAGACGTGACCCACTACGACCAAAGTACGAGTGAAAATTGATCTTAGAAGAACTCTAATACATGAGATCAATGTTGTAATTGGGAACCAAAAAAGGAATATGGAAATTTTTTCCCAGAAAGTTAAATATGAAAGAATTCCGGCATATTGTTCCCATTGCAAAATACAAGGGCAAATGAATGATAGCTGCAGAATAGATAATCCACATATCCAACAACTTGTTAATGATGAAAAGTTTGAAAATATGAATGGACCAGAAACTCAAGGAATTAGAGAGAACATCAGACAACATAAACATCAGGAAACACTTATATCTTCCAATATCCAACCAAGATAATAAGTACAGAACAAAAAAAATGAGGGAACGCAGGAAGACATCAAAGAAACAGTCAGAGCCACATCAACAAGGAAAAATATCTACAACGAAGAGGGAGGTTGGAAAAACGTGGATAGAAGAAATAATAGAGGCAAAATGACATCTAAGAGCTACCAAGAGATCGATAATCAAAATAGCTTCAATGTTTTTCAGGAGGCTGAAAGTAAAGAGCAATCCAGGAATCAAACCACTGGAAAAATCAACAGTACTAGTGTTGATATGGATGTATCTCAAAACGTCAATGTCCACACACTTGAGCAGAGAATAACTCCCATTAGAGAGACTAGACGGGATACGTCCCAGTCAAAAAATCAAAACAAGAAGAGCATAAAGCAATCTAAGAAGCAATAGCTCTAGAAGTATTAGAGCACCATCTATGAAAGGAGTTGAGCACAATGACAAGGTGAACCCAGTAAGTTGATCAACATGACTAAAACAGATGAAAAAAATTGAGTAGGGGCGAAGAAAAGTGCATCCAAAAGGTTAGTATACCTGAAAGTATCATCCTTGAGGAAGTCATTAACCCATCACATGGCCTACTTTCAACCTTTGCATGAAAGAGGCAAATAAAGGAAACCTGACTCAGGAAAGAATAGCGAATAATTCGAAATCAAGTAGAGTTGTGGTCAATACTAAGCAAGAATTAAGTATATCC